ATTGTAAACAATTCCAATCTAAAGAATGAAAAACAAAAGTTTTCATTAAGTTTTTTATCCCGAAATCACAACGTGGGGTGCGGCAGAGTGCTCGAACCGAGAGGTCCCAGGTTCGGGCCCTGACCCGATCAAAATAGCTCCAGGAGAGAAGCACAATAAATCGTGAATGAAAGCATCGATAGTGGTTAATTGTGTTTCATAGTGTTGGTTTAGCCTATATGACATTGCACTTGGCAGATAGTACTTTTTACTACACAAACTTTTAACGCAGTTTTTTTGTTTAGTAAATTTGTTAATAAGCAATTAGTCATCTGACGTTATGTCATGTATTTACTTAATTGTTATTATTTGTTATTTTGTTTGATACATCAAATATTATGTATTATTATTTCATAGTTTTGAGTTAGTTACTGCTTCTATATTTACGTTTAGTTGTGGTGATGGCTTTGAATAGACACAATTGTATCTACGTTCCCTCAGCACACAATTGTGTTTTTCCTTTCTGTCCGGTTTGATTATTTTGTTATGTGCGAATAAAATAAAGGATACGAAAATAAAGAGAAGAAACAAAAAGAAGACGAATACAAAACTGCAGATCAGTAGAATTCAGTCATATAGCTCAGTGGAGAGTAAAGACAGAGAACTACTTACACATCGAGTAGGAAGAAAATCCCCTGAAATATGACTGTTTCTTTGCCCGTTAGATATTCATACACACACGGGCCGTGGCATTATAGGACTTTATTTCTCGCACTAAGACGCAGATGGTTCTTTCATGTTTGTAGAAGGGCCAATCTAAAATAAAATCTGTTTCGTCATCAATATTGTTTGAAATATAATATTTACAAGAATTTAATAACTGACGTAATGAATAACTTTGGTAGTCAATCATTCACCGGCATGATGAAATTTCGGTCACAGAAAGTCTGCTCTTGACAGCTGCAAATGTGCAATCCTTCAATTATCCTGTAACACACGCTAATAAAATCACACCACAACTTCATTGGATTTACCACAAATTAGTAGACGCCTCTGGCACCAACGGCCTTTTTCTGCTAAAGAGTCAATTCTATATGGGGAGTAGAACTATATCATCAGTAATAAGATTACCAGCTGGTATGGGTATATCAAAATTCTACAAGTTCAACGGGTACTATGTCTAGCATTATGTTGAAGATAACTACAAACTAAGAACTAGTACAATAACAGAAAGAATTGCACTGCTGATGGGACCGTCCTGTCAATAACAGAAAGTATTGCGCTGCTGACAGGGCGGTCCTGTGTACTTATGAGTCATTGCACAAGAAAACCGGGCATATTATTTTTCAAATTTTTTATTCACATTAATTTATTAAGGCAAAAAGCATATATTGCTTATTTGACGCATTCTACTAAACATGAAAAGTGTAAAACACGATGACAAAATACATACATAATTACAAATTGGGTAAAAGAAAAAATGAGTATCAACAAAAGTAATTGGTGATCTATTAATTACAAGGATCTACCAATACAGTAAATAAAGTTTTGAACTACTTTAAAGACATTACAGCTTTGTAAAGGTGTGAGTGATGTGGACACTCTTAGCAGTAATTATCATTTGAAAAATCAACTGTCATTGAGATGCTGTAGCTCTACTGTGTTGGAAAGATATGATAACAGAGTACTTCTGTGACTAGTATAAGTTTCCATCATATATCATTGTTGCAAGAGTCATATTAATTTCGGCACAAAGATGTTCAAAATCAAAGATATTCTTAGCACTTAAAATATTAATAGTGTTGACACCTTGGAGGTGGATCGGTAGACATAGTAATGTGTCATCAGTGTCTATCATCTCGGATCGGCGTACTGAGTGCAAATCGAGCAGTCTTGGAGGACATACATCTGGTTATTGCCATCGATCTTGCAGATGAGAATAATTATCATTGCTCAAAAGATGCATGGGCAGAGTATAGTAATGTATCTAACCGTTTTTAAATAATGACAAACGTAGTAGTAATGGCAGTATAATTTGTTCAGACAGCAGTTGTCTGTTTTCTATATTGCTGTGTTGTACCGTCCTTGACACTGTACAAGCAATTGGGCATGGTTTCGCAAATAAAGTTATAATTATATCTAAATTGCAGTTTATATATCATACACTGCAGTTTTCAAGAACCAAATGTAGCAAATTCGTGGTATTTCTGGTTAATTACCATTACATCAAATTTTGTATTTAGGAACACATGGCTAAGTATTCATATCTTGAGGCTTTGATAGCAGAAAATCCATTTTATAGTGTAATTGTGTTATATACTGTTCTACAGAAACTAAAAGCGTACGATATAAACCAAATGAGAAGTATAGATCTTTTGATTTTGATATCGTTTTCTAATCATGCTTTACTATATCATTATGCAATTTCTTTTTATACGAATTGTATCTGATCCCGTATTTCTATCATATAGAGTCATTAAGCATATGGCCATAACTAATATACAACAAGTAATAGTTAGGATAGCAGATTATCGAATATACAACAAGTAATAGTTAGAATAGAATCTGTATCATTATCTTTATGACTTGAATATATCGAGATTATTGCAAAATATTCCAATCAAAAGAATGAATGAAAAATAAATGGCCAAATGCATGAATCATGGGATAAATATCTACAAAAAATCGAGAAGGGCTTTTACTCATCAGTAACGTTTTCATTAAGCTTTTCATCCCTAAATCACAACGTGGGGTACGGCAGAGTGCTCGAACCAAGAGCTCCCAGGTTCGGGTTCGATCAAAATGACCCCAGAGAGAACTACAATAGACCGTGAATAAACGTATCATTTCATAGTGTTGGTTTAGCCAATATGGCAATACACTTGGCAGAAAGTACCTTTTTACTACACCAACCTTTTTACCTGAGTTTTTTTTTAGTACATCTTAATAAGCAATTTGTCATCTGACGTTATCATGGATGAATTTTTTTGTCATGTATTTACTTAATTGTTATCATTTGTTATCATTTTGTATGATAACTTAAATATTATGTATTATAATCTCATAGTTTTATTTTTAGTTGTGGTGAAAGCCTTGAATAAAAACAATTGTATCTGCGTTCCCTTAGCACACTCATTTTCCTTTCTGTCCGGTTTGATTATTTTTTATGTGCAAATAAAATAAAGAAAACGAAAATAAAGAGAACAAAAAAAAGAATACGAATACGAAACTGCAGATCAGTAGAATTCAGTCATATAGCTCAGTGGACAGTGAAGACAGAGAACTACTTACACATCGAGTAGGAAGAAAATCCCCTGAAATATGACTGTTTCTTTGTCCATTAGATATCCATACACACACGGGCCGTGGCATTATAGGACTTTATTTCTCGCACTAAGACGCAGATGGTTCTTTCATGATCGTAGAAGGGCCAATTTAAAATAAAATCTGTTTCGTCATCAATATTGTTTGAAATATAATATTTACAACAATTTAATAACTGACGTAATAAAATACTTTGGTAGTCAATCATTCACCGGCATGATGAAATTGCGGTCACAGAAATTCAAGTCTGCTCTTGACAGCTGCAAATGTGCAATCCTGCAATTATCCTATAACACACGCTAATAAAATCACACCACAACTTCATTGGATTTACCACAAATTAGTAGACGCCTCTGGCACCAATGGCCTTTTACTGCCGAAGAGTCAGTTCTATTACGGGAAGTAGAACTATATTATAAGCAATAAGATTACCAGCTGGTATGGGTATATCAAAATTCTACAAGTTCAACGGGTACTATGTCTTGCATTTTGTTGAAGATAACTACAAACTAAGAACTAGTACAAAATAACATAAAGTATTGCACTGCTGACAGGACGGTCATGTGTACGTAAGAGTCATTGCACGAGAAAACCAGGCAGAGGTCAGATGATGGGGGTTCGCCAAATCGACTCAAACTTTGTATGTGAGATGGGTATGGGGAACTATGAACAGCCATATATTTAAAACCCTCCAGATATTTTTCATCATGTAGATCTGGGACCCCCCCTCCGAGAGCCTCCGAAATCAAGTAATTCATAGCTTAAAATTACTGAACTCGCGATGGCTGCACTGATAATCCTGATAAAGACATGGTTAAAACGTTTATACTACCACATAGCAAAGCATTTCTAGCTTTACAGACTTAAAGTAAAAGAGGACACCTTGAAGTTATAAGGGTGTGACACGGGGTTACCCTGTATAAAAAATACCTGCATAATATTAGTAATCATACAGAACAAAATATTTCACAATTTTACAGCTAATCATACCATTCGTAAAATAAACTACACTACAAGATATTTACTGTTGAAATGCACATCACAAAAAGTACTAAGTTCAGTTATTAATGAATTTAATTGTAACTGTAATTTTCAACAAATTCTGGTAATGCTTTATAAGTAGATATACAAAACATGTTTTTACACTTTGTAAATCATAATACTACCCTTTAGTATACAATAAACAAAAATCACTCTCCACATGTGCATGTCATTTTCTTTGCCATAGAGCCTGTAATGCGCATATTGAAATGGCTTCAATGAACGGGAACTCTCACATAGACTGTTTATGTCCACACGTATTTACCCATTCAAACCACGTAGGCATGAGTCATCAAGGCGTTGTCGCCATGTCTTCACATAATTTCCCATTAATATTTTACCTTAATAACATTAATTCGTGTTTAATGAACCTAATTAAGACACCTATAATGTTGCTATGCCATTGCTCTACATAGTTGGAAAAACATTGTGCAATGATATCACTGCGACCTAGTCGGGGCAGTTTCCTGTGCTCTTTTCGGCCTTCGTTTTCGGAACAAGTTGACTCTTAAAATTTCTGTTTAAGTGACTTAACTTGCAAGAAGACCAACTGTGTACAGTACGCCTCTCTACATTTCTGTAACATCAGACGGGACGGTCTCCTCAGCACGATCAGCGGACACCAGCAGACCGTCCGCCCGCCCGGACGCGGCGTGATGGCGGCAAGACTTTTCACGGCTACGATCATCTGCGGGCTGCTGTTTACCACAGGTATGGGATATACTTACTTGTAGGTTTGTAGACAAACATATCAAGATATATATATATAAAAAGAGGGATAAAATCATAATATTTAAGTTAACGGTTTGATATGTCGAGAATTCTGTTTCTGTTTTAGAGATCGGTATGTTTATATAACTAGCAGTGTGTCACAGAACTTTGGCATGTTGATAAGGTTGAAGGTTCTGTCAATGCTTACAGCTACTGATTACTGACCCAGTGGGTCGCAGACAAGCCGAAATAGGGTCATGCATTAAGTTTCTGTTGACAAATAAATGTTTACATCGCTTGAGGCTGTTTGTCTTGAGATCATTCCATTATTTTGCACATTTTTTATCGACTTGGGTGCATACATGTACCTTCTCCCTTAACATAGCTGTGGTCTTACGACAAGCACCGGCACCGGTTAAGTAATATAAAGACAAATGACGTAGAAAATGTCTAGCGTTGTTTGTTTCTTTCGCATAACGGGTAAACGTCTTTTAGGTGTAGCACATCAGCTTTGTATATGAAAGTACAAGCTGCGTAAGACCGGATTACAATGTTTAAGCCACTCACACCGGGAAGGTTCCCTGCTCTTTTCGATAAGTGCGGTGGATTCTTTAATGTTTGTGGGGTGTGGCTCTCCCCCAAACACGGGACCTCCATTTAACGTCCTATCCGATGGATGTCCCTAACCAAAGTTAGCTAGTTATTCATTTATACCTGAGTTAAGTGAGAAAAGTCGTGTAAAGTGCCTTTCCCAAGATAACAAAGTGGGATTCGAACCCGGGATCCCTTGGTTCCGAGCCGAAGACGCTACCGCTATGCCACACGACCCTACAAACTTATTGAGCTACGTAGGTCGTAGCATTTCTCATCTGTTTTCTTTGTGGACGCGTTTTTTTTCTGACAGGTAACTTGATAAAATGTTTGTGTAATTGCCTCTCATGCGAAAGCATTTCATAATACAGTTTTGTCTGAATCGAAATGGGGCATATTGTGAGTAAACGCACAGAAATTCTTAAAATTGACATTGTTGCGTGACGTTATTTTTGTGCCCACCCGGTCACGCTGACACCACGCTCCTGCTAAGATGAGTTCAATAGTGTCCCTAACGAGTTTTTTCATCTAATATTTTACAACTTTAGTCTCTCTTTTGGTGTATCTCCTTCTATTTCGACAAATACTGCGTCTCTTTTACCCTCAACGCTGGATTTTTCGGCAATTTACGGTTAACGCGAAACCCAAGCCGAACCCAAGCCATGGCGGACGTCAGTGAGAGTTGAATGCTACACTGTGCAGGACAGTGTGAATAACCTAGAATCGTGCCTTGTCGAATCTATCGCAGATAGGAAGACTTCCGAGTTGTCAATTCTGCAAAGACTCACTGTACTCAAAGACAGATTAAAGTCAAATAACGAAACCATGTGTGTGCCGGACTTTCCGCTTCAGAGAAGAGGCAACTCGTTAAAGATATTGCGCGGTTGGACAAAGTTTAGTGCGAGCTCGAAACCCAAGTCAAGTCGCTTCAACAAAAGTATGATGAGCTGTCCAGAGCCTTAAAAATGCACAATCTACCAGTCTACGCGGCCAGACCAAATCAATAGCAACTCAAACAAACCAAGAGTCACCTGATCGCGCCGAGAAACTATTGAATGTATGAACTGGTCAATGTAAATGTGCACAACCGGTTCCAAGCTCTGGAAGTTAACAACGAGACCCAAGAAGTCATCAACGAGAACCGAAACAACAGCTCAGTTTCAAACATAAGTGCGAAATATATATGACTGGTTTATTTGCAAGAAAAAGATACTACATACATAGTACAGTAAGTTGGAATCTTTTTTGCAGCCGAGAGGCTGAATTAAGCAGCTTTTACAGTTACAAACATCTAGTACATATTTTAAAAATGCAAAGCACGGCATATACATAGCGTGTGCATAAACATCAATTTTTGCGGTAGACTAGTGTATATTTTATGTTAAAATTACAACTACTAATTCAGTTACAAATTACATAAGTATTACTGTCAATAATAATGTACGATTACATCTATACAACTGAAATAAAATATAATCTATATTGCAAGGGTATCCAATATATTCAGCATTGTGGGAACAGGGGTACTTAAGTATCTCTTTGTCCCAGTAGACAGTCTGTAGCGCCGTGTTTGCCTTAGCTGCATGTTATGTGAGTGGTTACTAACTGGATGTAGCCAGGGGGCGTGCCTAGACTTCGTAGCTGAGAGGGCAAAGTCCCGGCACAGGGTCAGTCTGCGTTAAAGCAGACGTTGGAGGTGAAGAGTTAGCAGGGCCTCGGAGTACGAGTGATAGCTTCTACCCCTTTTATTACCCCCATGAAATGTTTCATGGAGGTTATATTTACCTCCATGAAATGTGTCATGGAGGTTATATTTTCAGTTGCGTTTATCTGTCCGTCCGTCCGTCTGTCTGTTGGTCAACAAGATAACTCAAGAACGCCTGGATGGATGGGTTTCATACTTGGTGTGTTGGTAGGGTGTGACGAAAACTGGAAATGATGAGATTTTGGTCCCCCTAGTGGCTTCCCTTGGTACTGCAGCACAACTTCCGGTTTTGATATCTCACGATCTGGACATGCTAGGGTCATGAAATTTTGATGGAAGGTAGCTCTCGTGCTTGGGAAGAAGTCATATGAGTTTGGGCCCCCTAGCGGCCTGTTCTGGAACTGCAGGGCACTTTCTGGTGAAATGTTTAAAAGCCAATAAGTCCAGACAGGAACAACATATTTTCATTATTTTTGGTGAGTAGGTAGCTGAGAGAGATGTACATAATTAAATGCAAATTATGAAAATGAGGATTGTATTTGCATAATTAATTAGGAAATTCTATAATTACAGTGTTTTACATTATCTCGCGATCTGGACATGCTAGGGTCATGAAATTTTGATGGAAGGTAGCTCTCGTGCTTGGGAAGAAGTCATATGAGTTTGGGCCCCCTAGCGGCTTGTTCTTGAACTGCAGTGCACTTTCTGGCGAAACGTTTAAAAGCCAATAAGTCCAGACAGGAACAACATATTTTCATTATTTTTGGTGTGTAGGTAGCTGATAGAGAGATGTACATAATTAAATGTAAATTATGCAAATGAGGACTTTATTTGCATAATTAATGAGGAAATTCTATAATTACAGTGTTTTACATTATACTATGTAACCTATGGCAGGCGGAACTTCAACAGATACTAATTATGCAAATGATGACCTAATCTGCATAATTAATGTGAAAATTGTATGATTTCGTAATGGTGAATGATGAGAATGTCATACTTGGGACATCTGTAAATTAATCAAAAGTTAACATACATCACGATGCATATATCATGTTAATGCAGAGGTCATTTGAACAATTAAAGAAGAAATTTACATTTACATATCAAGATCATATTTCATGGAGGTATGAAATCTCGGAATTCTAGTTTCAGTTGTGTTTATCTGTCCGTCCGTCCGTCTGTCTGTCTGTTGGTCAACAAGATAACTCAAGAACGCCTGGATGGATGGGTTTCATACTTGGTGTGTTGGTAGGGTGTGACGAAAACTGGAAATGATGAGATTTTGGTCCCCCTAGTGGCTTCCCTTGGTACTGCAGCACAACTTCCGGTTTTGATATCTCACGATCTGGACATGCTAGGGTCATGAAATTTTGATGGAAGGTAGCTCTCGTGCTTGGGAAGAAGTCATATGAGTTTGGGCTCCCTAGCAGCTTGTTCTGGAACTGCAGGGCACTTTCTGCCGAAATGTTTAAAAGCCAATGAGTCCAAACAGGAACAATATATTTTCATTATTTTTGGTGTGTAGGTAGCTGAGAGAGAGATGTACATAATTAAATGTAAATTATGCAAATGAGGATTTTATTTGCATAATTAATGAGGAAATTCCATAATTACAGTGTTTTACATTATACTATGTAACCTATGGCAGGCGGAACTTCAACAGATACTAATTATGCAAATAATGACCTAATTTGCATAATTAATGTGAAAATTCTATGATTTCGTAATGGTGAATGATGAGAATGTCATACTTGGGGACATCTGTAAGTTAACATACATCACGATGCATATATCATGTTAATGCAGAGGTCATTTGAACAATTAAAGAAGAAATTTACATTTACATATCAAGATCATATTTCATGGAGGTTTGAGATTTCGGAATTCTAGTTTAATTTACATATTTTTTGTAAAACAGACTGTATCAATGTTGTTGGATATTGTAATTGAATGCTCGGATGGGGACACGGTTTTACTTATTCTTTCATTTGCGATGAAAACGTTCCGCCGCAGCGGAAGTAAGAGTTCGGCATTTGGAACATTTATGGCCTCGGCTCTAAATTAGAAGACGTAGATTTCTTAGCACATGTTAGAAAATTTGATTTATTTTCGCTTCTAGAAACTTGGACTACAGGAAATACAAAAATTGACGTTTCAGATTACAGCTACTTCAACTTAACAGAACAAAGATTAAACGAGCGCTGCGCGCAGTGGGGGGGGGGGTATTATCTTTTTCTATAGAAATGAATATAAAAACACGTTAAACAAGTACCGTCCACGTCCTCAGATATCATCTGGGTAAGAATAGACCGCGAAGTTTTAGAACTGTCTAAAGATCTTTTTATTTGCAGTGTGTATGTTAGCCCAAGCTCATCCACCACGCATAGAAACTCAGAAAATCATGTTTTAGAAATTCTAGAAAATGAAATCTCCAGACACAGTTCACAAGGAAGGTGACTTGAACCCGCGTTCCTGGCAACCTTCAAGACTATGTTAACGATGAAATCCATGACAATGACAATCAATTTAACATTGGCATTTATTTAAATGTCCCAGGCACTGATATCGTGGACAATTCTTCCTCTTGTGCCACTTCTATTAAGAATTCTATGTTAGACTCCACAATAACAGATAAAGAATTAGAAACAGCCATATCCAAATTGAAAAACAACAAGTCTAGTTGTGACGATATGGTAATAAA